CATAGGATAGGGTTATGTATGGAATAACACATCGGACAAATGGCCTCCACGGCTTTGCATGCACATGGGCACTCTTTTGTCGAAATTTTCCATGACCCTTCTGCATAAATGTGGCTGAATTTCGTTGATGCAGCGTTGAATCTCCTCCTTTAATGCACGGGTGGTTGTGGGCTTGTTGACATAGACTTGTGATTTCAAATAACCCCATAAAAAGAAGTCTAATGGTGTTAAATCACACGATCTAGGAGGCCAATTTTGATCACCGAAACGAGAGAGTACACGACCGGGAAATGTCTCATGCAGTAATTGAATTGTTTCACGGGCTGTATGACATGTGGCACCGTCTTGTTGTATTGGGTACATCAATATCATTCAATTTTGACAGAAAGAACTGTGTAATCATGTCGCGATATCGAGCACCAGTAACAGTCACTGCTTGACCAGCATCATTTTCAAAAAAATATGGCCCAATTATGCCTCCAGCCCAAAATCCACACCAGTCAGTCACGCGTTGTGGGTGCATTTCTTTTTCGACAATCACACGTGGGTTCTCCGAACCCCAAATGCGGCAATTTTGGCGATTGACAAAGCCATCAAGATGAAAATGTGCTTCATCGCTTAGGATGATTTTGCTTGAAAAATCAGGGTCCATTTGTTGATGTTCAATAATCCATTCAACAAACTCTCTTCTCTCTGCATGGTCATTAAGCTTCAATTGTTGTGTTAATTGAAGTTTGTAAGCATGAAGACACAGATCTTTGGTGAGTATACGCTGTAGAGAGGTTCTTGACATTTGCAATTCTTGTCCACGACGTCGAATTGAGGTTCCTGGATTGTCCGCAACACTCTCACGCACTGCTTCGATATTCACATTTGAACGGCTTGTTTTTGGACGACCAGTGTGTTTGGCGTCTCCAACGGATCCAGTCTCCATGAATTTTTCAATTAATCTCTTCACAGTTGACGAAGTTAAAACACTATTCCGGCCATATTTTGTATGAAATTTTCGAACTGCAGCCGCCAAGCTTTCACTATTTTTGAAATATTCTTTAATAATGAAGACACGTTGTTCTATCGTGTAACGCTCCATTTTTCATAACCCTATACTGTTAGCTGTCAAATTGCTTTTTTTCAGGGTTGCCAACACTTCACTGCACAAATGGCGGCAAATTCAAATCTTGCGTTAATTTTGGGACACCCTTTACAAGATTGAGGTTTTGGGACTTCTGTTTTTACTTTCCCACAGTGCGATGAATATGCCGTCCGATGGAATCATCTTTCGCCAGGTCTCCTCGTTACTTACGTAATCTGGACTGAACACGACTAACTTCCATTCCATATTCCATTCAAGTCTCTCCCTACTCCATACGAATCGTTGTCGACGATGCTGTGGGATCAGAGATAGTACAAGATTGGGGCGATATGAAAACAGTTCAAAATCCCTTATTCGGCGATAAACTGTCCTCATTGTTATTGCCCTTCCGGCAGCATCAAACGACTAGTTCACACTTTGAGTGAGATTAGCGTGTCTGCGAACCCTAGGCATGATAATGCAATGAAACAACAATGAAACAATCGGAACCAACTTTTCATATTGTTCGGATCCTAATATGAAAAAAAGCCTTTACCAAAAAGTACCATTATACCATTTCAGAAATTCAAAACGTGCTGAGCTGACAGTGGCGACCTTTGTCGCCGTGGAAGTTCCTCGTGGAACCGATGGAACTGGTATAGAACGAGAAAGCACAAGGCAGAGGAATATTGGCCGGTTGCCCGTTCTCGATTCCGATTCTGTTCAGCCTTCCTCAAAAACGCTTTCACTAACCATCACGGGACGTGGCGACGCTGCGCCGGTGCTTACCGATCTACAGAAACGCACTCGAGGACACAATGCAATTCTAGCAATTTCTAGGATAAATAATATTGTTTCCCTTTGTTAATAGCAAGTTAGAAAAACGGCCATTACAAATGATCTAGATGAATTTAGATACTTTCCTTTACATATGTGTTTGTTCTATCGCTTTTTTTATTCAATCTTTTACTCTTTTTTGATAATTTTAATTATGAGCTATTTTAACGAGTTTTTATGACAGGGCTGGTACCTTGATCAATCGTATATTGCCTACTAGTCCTTTTTGCAGCTACTTTTTTTGTGTCGTTATTATGTTTTTGTACTGATAGCTGCAAATAAATCGTATTATCACTATTACTAACACGCTAAAATTCGAATATTCACTACACCATTATTATTATAATTTATGTCTTTCCTTCAAAATAAACAATTCAAATTTAAAAATTGGCAAAGTGGACGATATCAAATATTTAAGAATATTTTAGGCCAACGTTCGAGGTGGGATATTCAGGCAGCATACATTTTGAAGAAAATAAGATTTGTTGCATACAAAATTAAATTCTCACAGGCATATTGACAATAAATTACACTGATCAACAGCCAAAAAATATCCTAAATAAAATCAACAAAATATTACTATTTTTAATGTGCTAAAACCGGAATGAAACTTATTTTTTCAATATTAGTTCAAGTTTTAGAGATACGGTAATTATATGTGTTCCTGCTGTGACAGTGTTAATATACTGTAATTCACAAGAATGCACGTGCTACATTTTTATATTCGGCAAGGAAAGATGATGTAATCTGCATGATTGTGTTACGTTATACATACGTGTAGATTATATTGTTTTATATTAGCCATTTTTTCCTCAGTTGGCTGACAGCGTTCATGCAAGATGTCTCGAAAGTGTGTAAACAATCCAGATCAGTTTTGTTACGTGTGTGGTGATGTGACTTTTGCGTCTCAGAGACGGTCTATTACTCCACTAATAACAAAGGCATATCAGCTTTATTTCGGTAGTAAACTAGGTGATCAAGACAAAAAGTGGGCACCCCACATCTGTTGTAATACATGTGCTTCAAGTCTGAGGAGCTGGTTAAATGGCAAACAATGGTCTATGCGTTTTGCTTTTCCAATGGTTTGGAGAGAGCCTACAAATCATATTAATGATTGTTACTTTTGCATGGTACCTTGTGTTGGACAAGCCACAGGTATGTCCAAGAAAAAAAATTCGGTTATTAACTACCCAAACATACCATCTGCGATGAGACCTGTGCCTCACAGTGACGAAAATCCTATTCCAAGAATCCCCAGAATCCTACACTTGCGAATCAGAAAACGAATCAGATCATGGCGATCGAGTGATTCGTCAGGAAGAAGATATGCCATCAACGTCAAGAGATCCTGATTTTATACCGAGCACGTCATGCCACCAACCGCACAAAATAACACAGTCAGAATTAAATGATCTTGTAAGAGATTTAGAACTTCCAAAATGTAAGGCAGAGTTACTTGGATCAAGACTGCAGCAGTGGAACTTGTTAGAAGACGATGTTTCGGTATGTATTTTTCGTAAACGCCACAAAGACTTAGAACCATTTTTCATTATGGAGAATAACTTGGTTTTCTGCAGTAACATTAACGGCTTACTGGCGGCTTTAAATATAAACTATAACCCAGAAGAATGGAGATTGTTTATAGACAGTTCAACATTGAGTTTAAAGGCAGTGTTATTGCATATTGGAAATATTTTACCATCTCTTCCTGTAGGGTATGCAGTTCACATGAAAGAATCATATGACAGTATGAAGTACCTATTGACATGCATAAAATACGATGAGCACCAATGGCATATTTGTGGCGATTTGAAAGTTTTTGCGCTTTTACTTGGGCTGCAGCTAGGCTACACAAAGTTTTGCTGTTTTTTGTGTGAATAGGACAGTCGGGCAAAGGCACTTCATTACACCAGACAAAACTGGCCTGTTCGTCAATTCCTAGAGCCTGGTCAAAAAAATGTACAGCATATGCCATTAGTAGATTCGAAAAAAATTTTATTACCACCACTGCATATCAAGTTGGGCCTAATGAGAAACTTTGTCAAGGCATTAGATAGAGATAGGTCAGCTTTTCAATACCTGCGTCAGAAATTTCCAAGACTAAGTGAGGCAAAGGTTAAATACGGTATTTTTGTTGGGCCACAGATTCGAAATATTTTGAAAGATACACACTTTAACAGGTATTGAAAAAACGGCTTGGAATGATTTCCGACTGGTGGTCACTAATTTCTTGGGAAATGGAAAAGCTGACAACTATAAAACCCTTGTCAAAAATATGCTGTCATCGTATCAAAAGATGGGCTGTAATATGTCTCTTAAGATACATTTCCTACACTCACACCTGGACTTTTTTCCTGACAATTGCGGAACCGTAAGTGATGAGCACGGCGAACGTTTTCATCAGGATATTTCAACAATGGAAAAAAGGTACCAGGGAAAGTGGAATCCTTCCGTGCTTGCAGACTACTGTTGGACTCTTGGTAGAGATGCTCCAGAAACGATCCATAAAAGAACAGCAAAAAGATAGCGCATATAGTGATTCTTATAAGTATATGAATCTTGTTACTTTATTTAATATATCCTTAAAAATAAAAAGTTTTTTTTCTAAACCGCAACTAATTTTTTTATTTCATTGTCATTTTTGGATTCAGCGCCCCAAAATTAACAAAGAAGTGCATTTTTCCCACAAGATACAATTAAAAAACTAAAATTTGTTGTCCAGTGTAATTTTAGAAGAAATTATCAAAATGGATACGCTCAATAGGAGGACAACATATTGAATTCCTTAAACATTATCATCCGCTACATACAAATCTCTTTGTTTTGATTTTGGAACACATTCCAACATACAAGGCCTGTCGCAAAGTAAAGAATGGACGGAAATTGTTTGTTTCGGAAAATCGAATTTATTTTATTCAAAACCAAAAGATTTTCGAATTTCGAATGATGATCATACACCGGGATATCCTTGAAAATGGTCGACCACGCCTTTTGGACGTCCTCTACGTCGGCATACCGCTGTCCCTTCATGGCCAAATATAGTTTTTCGAACAGATCATTTCATATCAGGAGACAAACCTTGTACTACTAGTATCTCACCACTGCACCTGCCACTCCAGAGTCCCTCCCTGTGTATGTCGACCCTGCGGCGCCTGTCGTCCCCGTGGCGCCACCGAAAACCGTCCTCACTTTTTACGGCCACCCTCTTCCCCCCATCGCTACCTCCCGATCTAACCCCCACCCCCCGTTGTCGCCGGCCGGCGGTCCAAGAATGGGGATGAAAGAGGAAAGGGAGGAAAACTACCCATTATTGCCCCTACGGTTATCTTAAGGAGCATCGATAAAGTGCTGGCGGGGGGAGACGTTTGGGGGTTGAGAGTTAAAATTACCTACAAGTAGATGGTGCTCTAAGCACAGACATTAAGTTAATGAGTCCGAGATACGGGAATTGTTTTCGGGAAATCGTTATGCTTGAATAGTTTGTCTCTAAAAGGAACTGTTGAAAAATCGTGCAAGTATGTTTGACCTCGGTTAAGCATCACGAGAGTAACAAGTAACTCTTAATGTTTTTGAAGTGGATGAAGATATTGTCCAATCTGTTACTTCGGTGGATTTAAGACAAATGGAGAAAGCGAATCCCAGTGGTTGGTCCTCATTTCAAGGAACTGTTAGATGTCTAAATAATAGCATTCTAATCTTTTCCACACTATATGTTTCATCCATTTCAAATTTTCATCTATATATATTGCCTAAATATTTTGTATCACTTGTCCGTTTGATAACCATTGTCATTAGTTCCTAAATTTATATGCAGCGGGCAACAACAGTTTTGAAATCATCCTCGATGAGTATTTTTAATCATTTATGAAATTTTAACAGTGTTTCTTTTTGTTGCAGGATGAAAGTAACCTCCAGCAGAGACGAAACCAAATCACCACGGCTGACTGGACTTACGTTGCTGCGTCTTTTTATATTTTTCGTCAATTGCAAGCCGGTTATTTCGTTGACAGTGAATTAATAATTATTATTGTTATAATATATAATGATCTCGTGTTATGCTCATTAATACAATTCTTGTTTGTACAGAAGATGAAGAAGAAATACCCCCTTATCGTATACACTATTATTATGCTTTTTATGTGACTCTATCATTCATAATATGTAATACACACAACAAAGATTGTTTTGTATGACGGGTGCAATACGACGATTTCGAACGTCATTTTCACTGAAAAACCTACAATAATATTCGCAAATAAACAAGAAAGTGGTTGGTTGAATTTTTAAGATAAAAAAACGTAACCATTAAAAATGAACATTTGGAAATGTATATCTGTCGTTGATTATTTTGAGCTAAATGTTTTGAAACATAATAAATTTATACTTATGATTATAGAACACTGGTAAGAAGCCTCAAAAAAAGATATCATAAAACGTTCCAATACGGAGCCAGCAGCTAACTTATATTGCTTCAGCTTTTTGAAAAGCACCGTACACCTGATCTTAAATTAGACCAATCGGAATCATCGCATTGCAGCTGCACAACTCGAACTGGTGCCATTTATCTACAGATTTAATTTGGCGATTGCCAATTGTTGTTAACTAAGGTGATGTTAAGCGAGCGTTCTGGACGAGAAGAAGCGGTATCCGAAATTGGCAGCTCAATACTTCGCGTTCGATCGAGAACATTTTCGATGATAAATCGTGGATTTCATATATGTTACAAATTATGTTTCGCTAATTTGTAGCGTTGTTAATTTTAAGGGCAGGAGGCGTTGATGATTGCATTCATATGATGATGTCAAGGAATACCGTGGACGTTGTGTATATATCTACATATATAGCGTTTAGTTGACCTCCGTGCAAAGTCAGCCTGTCAAATATTTTTTCTGCTAACATGCAAATGTTTGAAAATACATGAATATAATATTTACGTATCATCTGTCACCTATTACATTTTTGAGCAAGATTACCATTAACTCTGATGAAGTAGATGATTCTGGGACAGTCCCGGTTGATTGCAACGCTATCAAAGACTTTTACGATTCGTCACAAAATGCTACTTTTGCAGTCCGACTTTGGACGGCGGTTTAGTTATTAGGTGCTTCGCGTACCTTTTTTGTTGAGTTATTTTTAATTTTTATAAATAAATCATTTATTCTCGTCATGCGGTACTGGTCATAGTCTTTGTTTTTTTTTTGTCGCAGCCCCGACGCGGGGCACAACCATCATCATTTTAGAAATATTTTTTTACTGTAATATATTTGTAAAGTGTTTTGACGTATTGTTAGATGTTGAAATAGTGACGACGACGCGCCGCCAGCGCCCTCTACGACAAACGTAGATTAATTAAATTAATTTTTAAACTAATAGGAGGCGCTAGCGGTAGACTCGAAAACTTTTATTTCGTTAAGTTACTTACGATGAGCTGGCTCAAAAAATATTTGTTTTTTAGCTTACGAATATTGTATTTGATGTGGAAAATAAATTATTCGCTATCGTATCTGTACGAAGAATCCTTGTTCCGAAAATATTCGTCTTATAGTAATTTTATTTTGATTCTACTATTATACAGCGACACCGATAGTTTGATTTAAAAATTTACATTTAAAATCTGATGTTCCTTTAAAATAGAATAGTTATTGGCTATGGAAGGTGTGAATGGATGTTTCTTGAACCAGCTTATATACTGATGTGTATAAAATAAACCAGAGGCAAAGTTGTAGATGTTTTTCTGTTTGTAAAGGGTTGGTCTTAACGACTTGGTCTCCAGGTGACACGATTTCCGCAATCCAAATATAACTTTAAACAACTTGGCTCGTTTTGAATCAGCTTGCAAATGTATTGGTTTATGCGTGTTACACTTTGAACTGACTTGAAACTTGTTAATTTATAATCATCTTAAGTGTTAGCCCAACAAGTGTTCATATTTATAAATAACAAGTTTTAATATCGCCGTTTCATCTTGGACGTCGTGTCAAATATACCAAGTTCATCAATGAACAAAACCATTGTTCGTTTTTTAGTTTGTGAAATTTTATTTATTTAGATTTTAATTTCTAGACAATATGACGCGTTGGAATATAGTCAATTATATAGATTTCCAGAAAAAAAAATGAAGCTATGTCAATTCTTTACATCCGCTGTAATGTATGAGTGTATTTCAAGCAACACATTTGTTTACTTTTTTTAAATGTATAGGTAACTTGTCGGAATTTTGCTTATGATGAACTCAAAACGCAGTGTCGAAAAGTTTTGCTCATTCTTACCACGTGCATGTGTTCGTTATATTTTACACTTAATAGATTTAAACGTGAGGGTGTTGGTAAACTTCCTTGCACTGCGTTGCCCAGTCTTCAAAAAAAAAATAGTTTTAAATTGGTTCTACCACTCGTACTTGCTTTGTATTTGCATTGTAAAAATAATATTGTGAATCATGTTTCTTTCCATTTTCGCCTGTATATTCCGAAGCAAACCTTGATGTTTTCGATACAAATGTGTTGTTAGCATTTAAAAAAAAAACAAATTGATAACCGTTTTGGTCATAAAATGCCTGATATTAAAAAGAAACAGCTAATATTCCAGAATAAATGAACATTGAAAAAGATGTATATATGAATGTTAGGTATTTTATGAAATAAACGTTTGTTTTTTCAATTTGACCACGCCATTTTTTCACTTGACAGTACTTATCTCTACACACAAACGATGGATTCATACACGCACCAAAAACATGCAACGAGTGTACTTTTTACAGTGATAGTCGCTAATTCAGGTGCCTCGATTTTCTTTAAATTCGTTAATATATTATAAATACTAATTTTAAGAAAATTATTATATGAATATAATATAAATTCACATATTGCTGTTTCACAAAAATAAATGAAAAATTTATATTTTTCTTGTTTCATTTACCACATATTCGATCCTTTGAACGAGCTAGTATTTCCAGAAGGAGCATATAAAGTTGAAGATAAAAAAATGAAAAAGAAGCGAATTTCTATACAATCATTTGCAAAATTTATCTACGATTTCCCATTACATACAAAACATTACGTTCATGTGGGAGATTAGAATATCTTTATGCAAATTATTAACCTAAATAAGAACTAAAGGTTCATATGATACTCAACATATTTATTAGGGTGTCCCAAAACAAAATACAGCAGACGCTCGATAACGTAAACACGGGATAATGAAAACTTGCGCTAATGTAAACACAAACTTCGTTCTATAGGATCAAACGGAACGCGCGATAACGTAAACAATGTGTACGCTCGATAACGTAAACACGGGATAATGAAAACTTGCGCTAATGTAAACACAAACTTCGTTCTGTAGGATCAAACGGAACGCGCGATAACGTAAACAATATGTACGCTCGATAACGTAAACACGGGACAATGAAAACTTGCGCTAAAGTAAACACAAACTTCGTTCTATAGGATCAAACGGAACGCGCGATAACGTAAACAATGTGTACGCTCGATAACGTAAACACGGGATAATGAAAACTTGCGCTAATGTAAACACAGACTTCGTTCTATAGGATCAAACGGAACGCGCGATAACGTAAACAATGTGTACGCTCGATAACGTAAACACGGGATAATGAAAACTTGCACTAATGTAAACACAAACTTTGTTCTATAGGATCAAACGGAACGCGCGATAACGTAAACACTGTGTACGCTCGATAACGTAAACACGGGATAATGAAAACTTGCACTAATGTAAACACAAACTTCGTTCTATAGGATCAAACGGAACGCGCGATAACGTAAACAATGTGTACGCTCGATAACGTAAACACGGGATAATGAAAACTTGCACTAATGTAAACACAAACTTCGTTCTATAGGATCAAACAGAACGCACGATAACGTAAACAATGTGTACGCTCGATAACGTAAACACGGGTTAATGAAAACTTGCGCTAATGTAAACACAAACTTCGTTCTATAGGATCAAACGAAACGCGCGATAACGTAAACAATGTGTACGCTCGATAACGTAAACACGGGATAATGAAAACTTGCACTAATGTAAACACAAAATTCGTTCTATAGGATCAAACGGAACGCGCAATAACGTAAACAATGTGTACGCTCGATAACGTAAACACGGGATAATGAAAACTTGCACCAATGTAAACACAAACTTCGTTCTCTAGGATCAAACGGAACGCGCGATAACGTAAACAATGTGTACGCTCGATAACGTAAACACGGGATAATGAAAACTTGCACTAATGTAAACACAAACTTCGTTCTATAGGATCAAACGGAACGCGCGATAACGTAAACAATGTGTACGCTCGATAACGTAAACACGGGATAATGAAAACTTGCACTAATGTAAACACAAACTTCGTTCTATAAGATCAAACGGAACGCGCGATAACGTAAACAATGTGTACGCTCGATAACGTAAACACGGGATAATGAAAACTTGCACTAATGTAAACACAAACTTCGTTCTATAGGATCAAACGGAACGCGCGATAACGTAAACAATGTGTACACTCGATAACGTAAACACGGGATAATGAAAACTTGCGCTAATGTAAACACAAACTTCGTTCTATAGGATCAAACGGAACGCGCGATAACGTAAACAATGTGTACGCTCGATAACGTAAACACGGGATAATGAAAACTTGCACTAATGTAAACACAAACTTCGTTCTATAGGATCAAACGGAACGCGCGATAACGTAAACAATGTGTACACTCGATAACGTAAACACGGGATAATGAAAACTTGCGCTAATGTAAACACAAACTTCGTTCTATAGGATCAAACGGAACGCGCGATAACGTAAACAATGTGTACGCTCGATAACGTAAACAACTCTCGGCGCACGGAAACAGCGCGACGGTAAAATGCTGAAGCTTCGATGATTTATGTCGGGCGTCGGGGAGTCCCCGATTTATGATGTACAGTGTAGGGGATTCACCTCTGCGATAAAATACGACAAACTCGGTCAGTCGTATGATCGATTAGGATACGTTTAAACGTACGTATGTATTCCATTTTTGAACTTAAGTGAATACATTGCACGCGTTAAGATATTTTACGACTATAGCATCCACATCCTATAAAAGAAAGTGTTTAAAGTTGAGTGAGAAAGTGAAAATCATAGACGAAGTTGCACTAGGTGCGGGAGTGACACAGTTAGCAAAAAAATATGGAGTATCGAAAGCAACAATCTGTAAAATTAAGCGTATGAAAACTCAAATTTTACAAAGAACGTGCAATACATTTGGAGGTCTGGGAAAAAGAAAAACTTTAAAAAATGTGAAGGCACCTAAAATGGAAAATTCCCTGTATAAGTGGTTTTTAAAACAACGGGAAAATCATGTCCCAGTTAGTACTTAAACAGAGAGCGAGACTGTTAAATGAAAAACTGAAAGAAACTGAAAATTTCGTAGATAGTGATGGCTGGCTACAACGATTCAAAACAAGATATAAAATTCGACTGTTGTCTATATCTGGTGAAAAATTATCAGCACAACCACAATTAGTGCAACCATTCAAAGAAAAATTGATGAAAACAATTACCGAGCTAGATTTAAGAATGGAACAAATTTACAACGCAGATGAAAGTGGCCTTTATTGGAAAATGTTACCAGAGAAAACCTATGTTGCATCATTTGAAAAATCTGCCCCGGGAAGAAAGCCGGAGAAACAACGAATAACGTTTCTAGCCTGCGCTAATGCACTGGTAATTGGGAAAGCAAAAAATCCACGCTCATTTAAAAATGTTAATATCCCTGTTGATTATGACTGTTCAAAAACCGCTTGGATGACTAGTAGTATATTCCTGAAATGGTTCCACAGGTGCTTTGTCCCTCAGGTATGACAATCAATTATCACAAATGCTCTATTCATAATTTGAAGATGTGTTTTCAATTTGTAGGTAAAAGGTTTCCTAAAACAACAGAAGCTTCCAATAATAGCGTTGTTACTATTGGATAATGCACCAAGTCATCCTCCCGAGCAACAACTGAGGAGCAGGGATGGGTCAATTTTCGTCATGTACATGCCGCCCAACGTAACACCGTTAATTCAACCGATGGACCAGAATATAATAAGACTCACCAAACTATACTATAGGAAGTTTATACTTTCGTCTGTCTTATCAAAGAATCCTGAAAACTTATCTGAGGCTTTAAAAACAGTAACATTACCAGAAGCTGTTTTAGATTTACATATGGCCTGGAATGAACTTAACCAGCAAACTATTCAAAAATGTTGGAACAATCTCTTTTGTACCAATAATGAAGATGATGAAGAAGACGATGTCCCCTTAAGCGTAATTAGAGAACGTTTGCTATCCAATAATGATAATGTTATTAGTGTGTCATTAGATGTTGTTGATTTATTGAAAACAGTGAATCCCAACATCGTTTGTACTCCTGCTGATATTAATTTATGGAACGAAGATAAGCAGACGAATGATGCTGATAACGAGGAGGATATGGACAGTGAGGATGATGAGAACGATCCCATTGAAGTCAGAAGTGTATTGACTGACGCGCAAGCTATACAAGTTTTTAACCAAGCTTTAGATTGGGCTGAAAGAAAAGAAGTTTCATACACGGATATTTTAGTTCTTCGTAAATTACGGGCGCAGGCATTGGAAGACAACGCTAAGCGCAAATTTACGCAGACAAAAATTGTTAATTATTTTTCTTCTAATTAAAAAAATACTTATCGCTGTTAGAATATTTGTTTATTTTGTCGTAAATAGTATGTATTAAACGTTTATTTTAATAAATCAAATATTATATAAATCACGCTCGCTAATGTAAACATTTCGATAATGTGAACCACACTTGGATTAAATTAGTTTACTTTATCGAGCGTCTGCTGTAAAAGTCTTTTTTTCCAAACGCATCCTGTATTTTTTTCCATTTGACTTTAAATGCGCGCAAGTCTAAAGAAGAACGTCTACCGATTGTTATCGCGTATGAAAATAAAGAGCAACTCAACGCTGTGCCCAAATTGACTGGAATGTGAAAGATGTTGTTGTGGTACTACTGCTTCAAATACGGGTCGCATTAACGTGCTTCTGGAACAGAAACTGAATAAAGAAACGATTATTTTTGCTTGCCGCCATCACGTGTACGAATTGGTGTTAAAAGGCGTGTTTGAATCGGAGATCGAACAAGTGATTACAAGCCCTGACATTCCAAAGTTTGAAACGTTTCGCGAGACTTTCAATAATATTCCTCCTTGGTGAAGATACAGAGAAAAATTTTTAGATTCGACCGCCATGCATCAAGATCGATAGATGGCCAGAGTAATCTGTTCATGAAAAATAGCGCTACAAAGTTCCCAGATCAAACTAGATACAGTCGAGGCTGAAACAGTTGTTGGCGCATTATTATCATTGGATTCTAAATCATTACTTCGTGACTCTGTTCCTCTTGAGGAGCAAGGTTCGGACCAAATATTATCAAATTTAACCTAAGATTGTACTGGAGGACACTCGTCAGGAGAACGTCTTAAGAATGAAGAGTTCCTTCTTAAAACTCTTCCAAGTTTGTCACGCACCATGTAAGACCTAGGGCTATCACATTTACTTACTATCTCCCCTGGTACGTAGTATTTTTCTCGATCTGACTTGATTATAACACTGTTTCCTTCCTTGAAGTCTGACCTATATTTTGCAGTTTTGTCTTAATGAACTTTGTTTTTGAATCTTTTTCCGGAAAGCCTCTGACTATCTTGTCACACACTAGTGAATCTTCCAGCTCCCCAAAATTACATGGTGAAGCGAGAGTTTTTATTTCTGTGATGTAATGATCGAAGCTTTCACCCTCCTGCGACACTCTGGTGAAAAACTTGTACGTGTCATATGTTTCATTCCTCAACAGCTTGCAGCGAT